GTGATGACTCTATACCATTGGTCCGGGTGGTAGCCGCTGGAGTCCAAGGGGATCCCGCTCAAGCCGCAAAGCTCCGCTAGGCTGCACACGTTCGTGTCTGTAGATGTGGAATTTGGACATGGGAACTGGATCAGAGGGTCGGAGGTGATGCCCTCTAGTTTGTGCATACAAGGAACGTATCGGGCCCCCATGTTGATGAAAAGATACGTGGAAGGCCCCAACATGGGGTTGAAGTAAGGAGACGTCTGGAAGGCCAGGCCCGTGAGCTGGGCCATCTTGGCCAACTCCACAATGAACACGATCACCTGGATCAAGGTGACCAAGATGGTGAAGTAGGGAAGCTTTGTGTAGTGGAACCGAGGCAACCTGTTCTCGAGCTTGCGGCGAGCCCTGTCGTTTCTCTTGAACTTCTCGTCCACGCTGCTGGCCTTATCTGTGAAGGGGTCCTTGATGTCGTCGTCGAACGGGTTCCTACTGGGGAACCTGTCCATCTCGTGCTGTTCCAGCCCCAGGCTGTTTTGGTGAAGATTGTTCTGGCTCGTCTGCTCAAAACCACCGCTTTCGTAGTAGCGGTACCCGTAGGGCTCCAGGCGGCCGTAAGGGTTATTCACCTTCAAGGTGGAGTCATTCAAGGGCAGGAAGGGTGAGACCTTTGTGGGTTCGGGATGGGCCTCAAACGAAAAGGACAGAGCCAGGTGGTCCTTTTCAGGCACCGGTGGCCGTGGATCCAGAGCGTGTTGCATGAACTGGTCTCTGAACAGCATGGTCCCTGGAGATGGTTCACTTGAGATTTGTGTAGGAGCGAGGCAGTACACCCATATGTAGAAGACAAGTTCGTGCACAGGCGAGTTTGGGCGGTCAGGGGAGGCAGAGAAAGGGGAGTCTGGGTTTTAGGTGGGCTTTAGATTTTGGTACTTTAGCAAATCTACGCGTGCCAGGCCGGATACTCAGTTTATGGGAGTGAGTCTCCTGGCCTACCAGGGCCCCATTATCCACCGTGCAGCAGCTAGACGAAAAGACAATTACGCGTACAATGAAGCGGGTTTCCCCTGTTTCGACAAGTTTGTTTCACATTATCCCAAAACGCCCCTGTTTCCGCCTGAATTCGCTCATTGGCGCTGTGCCTGGTGCCTGGTGAGGCGGTGGTTTGCAACCATGGCTGCGAAATACCGCCATAGTGGATCCTTCAAGGGCTCTCCAATCAGGAACATGCAAAAATACGGCCAACCCCCTGAGAATGAGAGAAAGAAATGTCTGTAGAATTGTGGAACATCCGATGTTGGGAATTTCGAGGATCGGCACGAAAACAGCCCTTGTCTCAATGGGGAATGTGAAGCGGTCACCCCAGGCATGACGGTGTAGTACCATATTCAGCGCACAATGGTCCGCTTGTTTCCCAGCCTTTTCCCTGTATGAGAGGGAGAAATTTATTGTGCTTTTCAGGTACCACGTTCATGGAAGGGTGTTTTGGGTGATGCAGGGTGTTGATGGGCTAGGGTACTGGGGACTAGGTGAGTGAGGCTGAAGACACCGCCTCCAATGAATTCGGAAAAACGTTTTGATGAGACGTTCTTTTTTTATCGCCCGATGATGTCATCTAGCGTTGGCAAGGGCTACCTGCTACTGGCCTAGTGAACTCAAAACCGTTCTTGTATATGCTATTTGTCTATGCTCTGATGATCCAGCAGCTTCTAATCTCGTAGATCAGCCACTAGACGATCCGCATCTGCCTGTAAGGCCAACAGTATATAGAGATCCACGAGACCGACTGTTGAGCCTAGGGAAACTATGCAACACCTCTCAAGCTGTCTGAACAATTAATCAAGGCTTCTGCACTTGATTTAGCCAGAGACTTGGGGCAGACTTATCCGATAACTACTCCATCTTTCTCTCCAACTCACTTAAAAAGAGACTCATTGGACAAAGGATCAGCCTTCAAGGCCATCTCTCTGCGCTTAACCTTTCTGTCCAAAGCAGCAGTAGCCCTCGATCTGGCCTGCTCAGCGGCCTGCTGCTTCAATTGAGCTCTCACGGCATTAGGAGACACGTACTGCTTGTTCTCGTAGATCTTGGGGCCACCAAAAGAGCCCTCCAAGATGGTGATGAGGGTCATCACAAAACGTGGACCAATCTCAACCAACGAAAGCGAATCGGCATCCACCTCGCCTCTAGCAATGTCGCTCTCCTTGAGCTCCTCGGTTTCACTGATCTGGTAGTTTCTCACCCAGATCTTGTTGTCGACAATGGAAAAGGTCATAACGTGGTCCACGAATGGCTTGGACTTACGGGCTTTAGGAGGCACACCAAAGGTGTGGATGAACATCTCCTTTATCAAGTCGTAGTGTGGCAGCGAGCTGAACGATTTGTCAAAACTCAAGATTGGTCTGGAGCCCTTCAAGCAGTTGCCGGTGAAGTTCAACTCGTCCAAGGTGTGCATGTTCTGAATGAAGAACTTCATGGTGGGACCGTTAGGAGGCTTCAGGATCCACAAGTAGAGGTCCTGGTGTTTTCTGGCCTCGAAGAAGAAAATGTTGTTACAGTTGTAGAGCTCGGCAACTTCGTTAAGCTGGTGCAAGTTCTTCTTGGAGTCGAACTTTGGCTCTTTTCTGGCGTGAGGCATCAAGAAGGTCAAGTCCTGGATCAAGTGTCTGTGTCTGTAAGTGACACCACGCGAGGAGATGACAAGCACACGCTGACGGTTGATGTGCTTGGTCTGCTCCGAAGACTCCTTGGTCAGTTTCAGCTGCAAGGCTTTGTATATGGCTGACATTAGGGATGTGCTAGTTGAGGCGATGAGATGCGATGGATTGATTTTCAGGAAGAGTGGGACTAACTGCACCCGTACACCAGCTCACCTCAGGTCAACAGGCCCTCCGTCAAAATGGGCAAAAACTTCGAATTGGGGCATGTTGTGAATTCTGCCATGTTGTTTGAGGTGTGACGTTGCACCAGGCCGAGTATGGCTGTGAAATCTGGTCGTTTCGTCAATCTACGAAGGTATCTACAGATCCGCCCGGCGGCAGTTCCTGGAAACGTGAATTTATATATATTGGTCTAGTGCTTCTCAGCAGGCTTCTCGAGATGCTTGGCCAAGAAGTCCTGGACGAACTTCTCCTCCTCCTTGGAAGAAGCGTTGATAGCTGGAGTGGTGGGCTTGGCTGGACCCCAAGGCTTAGGGACGGCAACGAAGACAACAGCACCCAAAGTGGCAAGCGACAAGACGTGGGGCTGGACGGATTTTCCGAAAAGTTGGTAAGCGGCACCCATTGTTGAAGATAAGTAGATGTGGTTGTTGAAGGTTTATCTCGCGGGCACTTTTTCATTGGTCGTGGGTGCATGCAGGAGAGTATATGGTACCCCAAAAAGAATCCATGGAGAGTCCGTTGGAGCTTGGGGAATGGGGGCTTTGGTAGGAAAGGATTTGAATTATTTAACTTTGGTTTCTATGAGGCCGAGAGATGTGGACAAAGTCGGGGTGGTCCGGTGGATATAGCACACCCGTACCTCCTGTAACGTTTGGAGCGAGTCGGTTCGGTCCAACCTTAGCTTCAAGGTGGAAGCGAGAATGGTCCTTCAAAAAGGCGAGTGATTCAGGAAGCTTGAGGTGAATTTTCAATTGATGCTAAGTTTTGATGCTGGAAACGCGTATGGGCAGAATTGTGCAAAAGAATGGAGAAATCCCTGCCACCATCTGTAAGGTGGCACTCCCTCTAGAGCAGTCATATTCGCCTAAGATCAATGTCCTTCCCTCTGAAGAATCAGGTTGAATTTTCATAGACATTCTCGCAGGATCAGAATCATACACCCTCACTACAATGCAACTTTTCATCAACGTCACAATTCCTCCTCTCCAATTCCAACAATTTAAAAAAAACGCAAAATCACGTCAAGACCTTCATATCTCGTCGACCGTTGCGGGGTTCTCGTGGCTTGGGAGCGGTATTGTTGTGTTGTCCGAACAGGTTCCGAATTCGCAGCCAAATGTAGTATGAGCTTTTCCCATAATCTGCAAGTTTAAGACACCACACTCAGCAAGGTTCGTAAACAAGCGTTGAAACGTGCTCCGCCTCTCAAATAAAGTTTACTCAGTAAGCGCCATTTTTGTTTTACTTATGGCAGCCGCAAGAGGCAAGTATCAGCTGACGGTGCCTGTGAGCCGATAAACGGCCTTGATTTTCGAGATTTTCAGACGACTATCTAACATGTGTGGGGTACAATATGGTGAAGATCAAGGAGGGGAGTGGAAAATAGACTTCAGCACTCCCATGGGACCAAAGCCTCAGGACTTTCTAGGGAGGTTGGATTTGTAATCGCCAATTGTAGTAAAAAAACGAGAGATTCCACTCCATCTCAGTCTCCTGGCGGTGACGTATGTACATGAATGTTGGAGGTTCGCTTCTTGGTATGATCTGCCATTCTCAGCCCATACCAAGTGGGCTGTCAAACCAGGACCCAGAGTCCAAGTTATTTGACTCTATCAAAAAGATGAAGATATTGTCGTGCTGTTAAAGGTGGTAAAGCTCCTTCTTGGTACCATCTGCGACACTGGCACACCACCAAAACAACACCATCATCTTTCACCACCCACTCAACAAATTCTCTTCGGAAACCCTTCATTCTTTTCTCTTGATACACATCCACCTCCGAATCGCCTCTCCTTTCGAGAAATCCGCGTGTTTGCAAAAAGTCGTACTTCCGAGATTTCGCCAACAACCTTGCCCACCCAGCCCAGACAAAATCCTCTCTCTATAGTGAATTGACAAGACTAATTCACGTCAAATAATCGTCAAAAGACTTGCCTCCTTCCCTATTTCCTCTCCACCGGACTTTCTCCAAAGTCGTGCCCCTCCACATATACCCAATCTGACCTCCATACTCAAGCCTCCACACTTCAATCTACTCCCACTTTATCACCCACAAAGCGGCCACAGAGCCATACATTCAAGAATCCTACCCTTAGATTAATAAGCCGGTTATTGCATCCTAGCACTTCCAGGGATATGGCCTCCAGCGACCTCAAGAGCGAGTTGATTCGCTCTTTGAGCTCCCGTTTGGAGAACATCCTCCCAAACCGTTCGGGGTACAATATTGCCGAGGTCGAGCTCAATGCCCAGTTTATCTTGACCACCAACTTGTTCCTTGCCAACTCCAAGCCGCTGAAAGAAAATGGCAATCTGGATTTCATGCCCGATATCATCGAGCACTTCTCGGCTATTTTAGAGAAGCTCAACATCGACCCTACAACAAGGAAAGTCAAGGATCGCGAGGAGAAGTCGTTGACGTCGACGGTGGTGGTTATGAAGTTGTTTGCCACGATTATTCGTTTTTCGTGGGACAAGAATGCCTCAATCGGTAAAAACTCCAATATCACCGCTAACGAGGGGGTCAACTTCAACTTTGACCTTGGCTACCACAGCGAAAACTATATGATTTACTCCTTCCAGCCGTCCGAACTCCTCAACACAGACATCCATCATAGCTTGGAGGTTCTTTTCTGCCTTCTTTCCGAGGAGGTGAACCGAGAAGCTCTCGCGAGCATCAAGCGGATTCGGAATGACAAGTACAAGCCAATTGACTACACCCTTGCGAGTGATACATCCTTAACACACGATGAGATACGAGCGTATGTGAAAGAGATCGACGAAAATATTCTGTTGGTACTCCGCTACCTTGCCGCAGCCAATCCAAACGATTACTATTCCTTCCTCAATAGAAAGCTTTTTGCATGGGCCGAGAGAGGAGAATATATCCCTAATGCTGCTTTGCATAAGTACTCATGCCTGCTCAAGTTTCTATACTACACAAAGGATGTTGCCGACCAATACGCCAAGCAAGTCTACAGTATGATGCCTTATATCCGCTCCAATAGCTGGAAGCAGGTATGCCTATATTTCGACTCCCTCAACATCAAATACCAATGTCTTCACCGCCCCAACTTCTACGCGGAGCAAGTGATTCCTGGCCAGCCCAGTGAGCAGAATTTCAAGACGTTGTTTGACTACGTTTCAACGGCTTTTGAGGATCAGGAAATGGTGGGCATTGCACCATCTTTGCATTCGTGGTTTGTCATGCTCTGCCCCTCAGACTTTGATGAACTTCTTCAAAAGCCGAATAAGCTCAAACAAGCATTCAACAAACGCCTCAAGTTCCTTACTTCCATACTCAAGGATGCAAGCTCTGGCCTGAATTTGGAGTGCTTTGAGAGCTTGATCAACATCTTCTCTCTAGGTGCCAGAATCCCTGAGTTGAAGGGCGATGTGCGTGAGTTCAGCGTCAAATACATCGACGAGACATTCGAGAATTTGAAGAAAATGGGACCCAATATCATTTACGATGCCTCCAAACTTCACTATCGCAAGCTCTCTATAGACCTATACGTGGCTGCCATTGCGATAAACCCTGACAAATACATCCCCATTCTTGTGGACTACTTCAACTCGGCTCTCCCGAAGTCAGAGGACGGATGCAAAGACGAATGTCTCTGTCCGGAGATTGAGATTTGTATGAGTGTTATCAAGGGCCTTGCCCACGTCGAGACATACAAAGTTCCCCTTCAAACTGTCATGAAAAGACTACGAGAACCCTTGAAGAGTCTTTTGTTCACAACTTACAGGAAATTAAGTCTGTTCGATTCTAACCGTCCAGAATCAAGCTCGTCATCACTACTATCGCAAACCTCGGACAGACTACCGGAAATGGACAAAAACATGGCTAATTCAAACCCACTCTTATCTTCGCTCAAGAAAAATAATCTCGATTACGGTCTAGGGTCTGTTCAGGACAAGAATATCAACTCCACCGTGGAGGCAGCTGACTCGAGCTCCAACAAGTCTGCGCAACAGAACAGCGTCGAGGTCCCTTTCAATGCGAAATGCATAGGGCAATGTGAACGCATAATGACACAGCTATTTGAAATCTTCGCTGCATCCCCAGAGGCCTATATTGGCTATTTGTCGGAGAAAGTCACACAACCTGAAGGTGGGGATCAGAAGGCTGTCCTCAAGGATTTAATCACGTTTGCACATGAAATGGCCCTTCCAATCAAACAAGCCATTCACTTCAAATCTGTTAACGGTAATTCCGAATTGTTTGAATCGGCATGTACCCTTGCCATGACCATGGTCCGGAGCAAGAGCCATTCCTTGAGAGACACTGAAGTGAAGGAGTGCCTGAGCTTCCTCTTTTCCAATCTCGTCATCAAAGCCATCGCAGAAGCATGTACTGTGTTCTCGTTGACAGATCCAAATTTCAAGCTTTGTTTCATCTTCTTGAACAAGTTTCTACAAGAAAGAGACATCTCTTACAAGGATGTCACCAACAATAGGCTTTTGCAGCACGAATGCTCACACTCCGCCTGCGAAACTGTCTGTGAAGCGGTTGAGATTATCCTTCTTTTGGCTCTATGTACCCACGACGTTCAGTTCTTTGGCATGGCCAAGCTCACGATGAAATGGCATATTCTCGAAATCGAGAACGGAAAACACCCTTACAACTGCTTCGACAACCACTTGGCTCATGTCTTTAAGCGAATCCTCGACGATGATTCCGTGTTCACAGGATTTGTTTCTCTTCACAAGAAGTTCAGAAACATTCTCATGGAAGCCCCTCCCACAAGCTCACTCTACCATGTCTGGCTTTTGATTTATCAAAGATGGTTGGATATTGTTGATAGCTCTTCGACCCTCACAGATGCAAGCCTTGTCTTTAGGCATTATACGGGCTTCCTTGTATCCACATCGGGATGCTTCTTGAATAAAGACTTTCTGGAAAATGACCCGAAGGAGAAGGAGAAGGCGTTAGCTTTAATTTCTGCATTCTTTGATAGAGCCATCAGCTTGCTCAAGCTGAACGAGCTTGTCGTTAGAGTTGTAATTAAAGATGCTTTATCGAACGAGTCGCATCCTGCCGTCTTCCATTTGGTCTGTACAAAACTCATGAATGCCGGTATTTATTATGTTGATCAAGGCGTTATATCAAGTGAAGCTGTTTTGTTCATGGAACAGATGATGGCGATCATTACTGCTATGACTGCTATCAAAAATGACGGTTCATTTGTGTTGGTTTCATTATTGCCTGGTGTGTGCGAGTTCCTTCACAAGTTTATTGGAATGGTGACTAACCCCGTGGATATTGTCAAGCTCAAGTTGCGTTTCTGCAAAGTCTGTTCCGCGATTGAAGCTGATCGAGAAAGAAATGGTATTGCTGGTGCTTACAAGTTGAGAAGTAACTATGCAAAGATTTCTCTCGAATGGCTTGAACAAGCTGTCTTTTTTGATGCAACTAGCGAGGAAGCTGACGTGGATGACTCGGTTTTGACAACTCCTAACACGAGTCAAAGTAACCAGACTAAGAGCTCGGAGCTTGAGTTCTTGTACATTGAGTTAGCAAGTGAATGTGCAAAGTGTCTCGAAATGCAATTGCAAGACTCTATTTTTGAAGTTCCTGAAGGCGTGAGTGAGAAGAATTTGAAACATAGCAAAGATTTGGTTTTCTCGAACCACTTCTCACTCTTCTTCAAGATATTGCAGAAGTACACTTCACCTACACCATCTCCCACAATGCTACGCTCGAAGTACAAAATTCAAGGAATCACAGACGTTGTCCTCAAATCTATCTCCAACATTCTCCAGTCTGATACGGAGCATGGCATGCACTTCGTCCTTCCTTTGGGCTATCATCAAAATGCTAAAATCAGGTCGATCTTCTTGAATATCTTTGGCGATATGTTATCCACCAAGAAGCTCAAAAGCGCCAAAGAGGAATTCTCTGATGAAATAGTGTTTGAGATGGCTGAGATTTATGAAGTATACGGAGCAGCTGCCGAAGTCGCTTCACCAGCAGAACACAATCTTTTAGCAACTTCGCTTCATGGCCTCTTCGGCTATACTCGCAAGCTCGACAAGTTATTCGTTACCTTGTTGACAGACGAAATCAGCAGTGTTGCGAGATCCACCGACATCTTCAGGAGGAACAGTACATTGACTAGATTAATGTCCATTTTTGCAAAAGAAGACGGATTGCCCTACTTGACAGTTGTTTTGAAACCTGTTATCGAGGAAATAATCCTGAATTCCGTTGTTTTTGAGGTCGAAAAGAGCCACGAACTCGAGGACGTTGATCTATTTGTTCAGTTTTTGGCAAAGATTGTTGATAGAATTGTGGGATCTGCCAAGTGGTTTCCCGATTCGTTTCGTTTCATCTGCTCGGAAATTTACAAGTCTGTTGGGGCAAAGTTTGAGGATGCAGCCCTCATTGCAGTTGGCTCGTTCGTCTTTTTGAGATTTTTCTGTCCTGCTATTGTCAGCCCTGAATCGTTCTTCGATCTTTCTACTTCGAACGTGAAGGTGAAGCGCTCACTTATCCAGTTGGTGAAGGTCATTCAGTACATGGCGAACGGCACTCTTTCCTCGCTTAAGTGGGAAGGTTTGCTTCAAAGGTCCGAACAGCTTGGTGAACTCAATAAGAAGATCTTCGTTTTCCTAGAGGACATGTCAGTGAGCCCTATAGAAGGATATCCATTCCACAGCTTGACTGTCAAACCTTACACTGGATTACGGTACATTCACAAGTTCTTTTACACTTACTTCGTCTACATCAAGCACCAATTGACACTCGGCGACCCTCTTGTCAATGCCGGTAATCTCCATGAACGTGTGTTGCTATGGAGACGATTGGACCAGATCATGAAAGAGCTCGGAAGGCCTCGACCATCCATTTCACTTCAAGGGACGACATCCTATAAAGCTGTTGACCCATCTGCGTATCTTGGTAACTCACAATACGCAGAGTTTATGGCAAAGATGTCAGTAAAGAATATGGAGCTTGCAGTTGATAGCGAGGTGATTCATAGTGCTGTGTTTCCCGATGGAACACCTGCTGTTGTTGTCAACTTCCGCCATATTAAAGACATTGGCTACGATATGAGCACATTCGTTTTCCTCATATTGGAGGCGGCTAGTCAAGTATGGGATAACAAGTTTTACATTGTGAATGACTTCACCCAGTTCTTTTACATGGGAATCATTGGAAAGAATTACGTCAGCTTGATGAGAAACTATGCACCATCTATTTTCTTCAAGAATTGTGCAAGAATCTATTACTTCAATTTGCCCCGATTCAAACATGTCAGCATAATAGAGGATATGGTGCAATTAAGAGTTAACATCAACCCGTTATCGAAGGGATACTTCTATTCACAAACTGACAAACCAGAGGTTATTAACAGTTTGTGTTTGAGCGAGACCACCACTTCTATTGACAAAGATGTTCGTGTCATTTTCAATGATTGTCTTGTCTACGAAAATGCTGTACAAAAGTTTGTTCCAGCCACACTCAAGCTTGGCCGCAAGTTCATGCAATTATGTTTCGAAAAGTCAGAGTTTAGCCCCGACTTTATTCAGACTGATTCGCTCACACCAGTCGAAGTCCACCAGTTGTCGGATATTACCCGATGTGAAATTTCCAACACTTTTGATACTCCAAATGAGTTTACCTTGTCTCTCAACAGGTACAATTATGAGGTTATCATTTCATCTAACCAGCGTCTGGCTATTTTGCGCTTCCTTTACTTTGCCATGTTGAGGACTTCTAGGGAGACATCCGGTCACAAGAAGGACGAGGATGATTTGAGAGAGCTGCATTGGTTTGGAAAACTTTATAACATTGTGTTTCACGCCTTACTTGAAAGAGACCCGGAGGTGAGATCTTCTGCTTCTTACCTCTTTTCGTCGATGTCTGCGTACTACGATGTGGACTTTGGGGTCTCTCCATCTCATGCCTCCAGTATCGCATATCCGACAGATACTACCGATTTCGTTGTCAGCGTCTCGACACACCTTGCACAGAAACGACCTGAAAACACCTATCGCTTCATCAAAGCTTTTTTCAACAACTTCGAGAGACTCCCCGAGGCCCATCGTGTGAGTGCCATAATGTACATTTCTCCATGGATTGAGAATGTCGGAAACCAGATTTTCATGGAACTTGAAAATGGATCTGAAAGAGTGGCAGAGATCGCCAGGCAGTTCTGTCGTATCACTTCGCAAACTATGAATCTGCTTCCATTCCTCAACAAGTATGTCTGGAAAAAGCTTTTCGCAGACTTGCGCTTAACGTCGGTGCTCTTGGATGAGATCATTGCTTTTGCCATTGACAACAAGTCAGACGAATCTGAATGGGAGCAAATTATATCAGTATTGAGTCCTAGTGTTGAACTTTGTGGTGAATTGATGTCCAGGCTTGTGGCATGCATCCATAAGACCAGAAGTGATGATTCAGACATTGCCTTACAGAGCAAACTCCTCGAGATCACTGTCCTCATCAAGATTTGCGCGGCAATGTTCTTCAATTCTTACGTTTTTGGCTCGCTCTACTTGCTGCATGTCTTCTTCTTCTGTTCCTTGTTCATTGATAGCCCCAGGCTCGAGTTTGGACCGGATTTGCAAAAACTTACGATCAATACTGTCCAGTCATTCGTTCACAAGCTCGATCTCACAGATCCTCAGAGAGAGCTTATTGAATCCTCAATCGAGTACTTCACTAGTCAGCGTGCAAGAATGCTCTTTGGGTTTTCTTCTGGCGACAGAAGCAAAGGATCAGATGCTACACACCTTTTTAACAGGGCTACAGCTTTTGATCTTTTGTGCGACAAGTTGAAGAGCTTCATGCTTCTGGTTGGGTCCTCAGACGACAAAATCAGATGGACAGCTAGGTGGTCATCTCTCGCTATGGAAATTGCGTTCAGCTCCGGCTCTCTTTTCCAACGTCGTGCTATCACATTGGTCGGTACTCTTGCCAGATCAGGTATAAGTGATTCAGCCGGTGGCCGTATGATGAAGATGCTCGTCGACAACAAATATCACGAGCCTAATACGTACGTGCATTCAGGGATCTGCTATTCCAGATTGGAAGAAGGTTTGGCCAGAGACTCGAAATATCTTCCAATCCTCATTTGGTCAATTATCTGCCACAGTTTGCTGAGCTTCCCACCTTTATACCAGACAGCTATCACCACTACTACTAGCATCTTCACCAAAATGGAGTACAGAGAGGACTTCATGCAGCCTATAATGAGCACTCGTCCCTTACTCGAACCCCTTCTTTCAGAATATGAGGCCGAAGTGAATCACACGGTGAGTGAGGCCAACTTCCAGCTCCATATAATGCTTTTCCTTTGTCTTGGTCTCACTACATCACAATTCAGGCACACATCTGTTCACTGCTTGAAGAGAATGTTGAAACATAAGCTCCTGCTGGATGACGGCTATCCCAACAAAGCCTACAGGTATGAGTACCTTTTGATTGCTTTCTTGTCGACATCAGATAGCACCTACAACGAATTTCTCAAGGAGAATTTTGCGGACGCTGAGGAGCTTCAATGTGTGACGAAAAACTCTCTACCAAAGGCCGTGATTGAGAGCTTGGACAACATAAGTGGAGAGACAAAGATCGCAATGATCATTGCTGCTTACACGTTTGACAGCGATTGTGACTCTAACTTCAAGTTAAAGTTCATTCGTTTGTACAATCATATTTTCGCAACTCAAAGAGACTTTGCCTTAGTCATCTTTCACCTTGTCAAGCGTGGTCTTGAAAACAATATGGTCAGCAGCACGTCTATTGATCTTATCACATCAATTTCCAACATTATGGTGGATGTTATACAAGACGAAGGATACTCCGAGGCCAATGCGGAGTCCCAGTTGAACGATATCTTAAACGCATTTGAATTCCAGAGAGTACGTCAAGTGAAGGAGTTCAGAAATGAAGTCACAGAGAACATTTGTGACATGAAAAGAATGCAAATGGTGCAACAACTTATGCACAGAAGCATCAGCAGCGTCAACGAAGGTGAACGCCTAGAAAAATCATAAACCCATTCCGTTCATTACTGTTATGTACCGAAGATGCATTATATATGAATAACGTTTAACGATCATGATAATTCACGCCGTAGAACTATTTGTACTTCGCTATCGCCTCTTGATCAATCTCCGACTTGAATTTTCGAAAAAGCGCCATTGTAGCTCTAGCGTCCTCGACGGAGGAATGCAGACCTTTTTGAATATCGTATTTGAAATATTGCGAAACTAGCTTCTTTAAGCTGGGCGGGTGGCCCTTTGTCTCGACTCGAAAGCCAGAGTATTTCGAAGTGTCTCTTATCTTGTTTCTAGGATGCTTGAGTTCGAGACATTTGAGGTCACCCCCGAGTGCGTGTCCCACAAGGAACTTTCCTTTTATTAGACTTTCAACTTTTTTTTGTGCCTCGGCGAAAGGGATTGCTTCGGCCATGTGATGAGGTGCTACTCCCGAGACCCATGTTCTCCAATTGGTGACTCTTCCTTGTGGCTTGACAAATGTGTCTAATAGTAGCACGCCATAGTAGTTCACAATGGACACACGAGCAAGTGCTGACTCGTCGTTATCGCCAATGCCAACAAATTCGCAATCGATGGCAACGAATTTACCGACAGCTTCCTTCGCTGGATTATTGTTGTCCTTTCCCCAAAGGTATACTTCAAGTGGAGTCTTTTGTTGATTGAGCCTTTTCACAGGTTTCTCGCGTTCCTTCGGAGTTGCTTTGGCGATCGACCTCTTTCGTATCTTCAGGATATGTTTATCCTTCTTGGGACTGGATGCATTTTGCTTAGCACTTAACCGCTTCCAGTTCTCAGATAAGCCCATAGATACCATTCTCCATATTTAGCGATGCCCTCATATTGGATGCACACCACCGATTTTGGCTGCAAAAAAGGAAGAGTCTCACTTATCAATCATATTGTTGTAAACGTGAAGAGACCATTTGATTTTTTCAATAATCTCTTCGCATTGAGCGCCGTTCTCGGCCTCGAGATCGTACTTTTTCTTCACAGCTGCATCTTTACCGGTCTCACTTGCGGGTTTCTGAATCACAATCTTGAAGTGATTCGGATTTTTGGACTGAGTGTACTGCTTGAGCTTGACAATCTGTGTGATATGGAAGGAGCTTGTTTTCATCATGGTCTCTTTATAAAACTTGGAGTAGTTATAATGATGAAGGTAATGGTGATGGCTTAGGTTGTTGCTTGTGGCTAATGGATTATCAGCAGGGTTATTCCGCCAGTTGACGTCATCTGTGGGGGCCAAGTGTATGTAGTCACCGTCTATAATTAGCGCCTTCTCGATTCGGTTGATAATTGGTGGCTTCTTTCGATACACTGTCCATTTGAAGTAAATGGTGTTCAAACTGACGGGTAAACTTGGACGATTTTGATTCAAGATATCACCAAACGAGAGCTTGTTAGCTCTATTGGCAATAGCAGACATATCTGGGTCTGCCTTATGAGGTTTCTTTGCAGCTGGCTTCTCAATTTCAGCAGCCATTCTGTCTTTCTCGTCGGTAACACTGGCTGAAACATCTTCAGCTCTATTCTCAAATTGACTGGTAGGAGGTGTGATACCATGTGGAATGAATGTAGCAGACGAGGGCGTGATGTTGTTATCCTTAAAGCTATCAACTTTGACATCTGTTAGCGGCCTTATGGTTTGTGACAAATTAGGCACAAACTTAAACTTGTTGGTTGGAAGGGTAGAAAGTAAGACTGCATTATCCAAAGGCTGTTGCCAGCTGTTCTTGGACAGCTTTATGTCATCTCCCAACAAATTTGTCTGTATATCAGGGAAATCTGCCTGTGCTAGACGGTATCGTAATGGGTCGATCTGATATTGCAGACATATGAGATCAAGAAGATGACCAACGGTCATATGTGAGCTGATGAAGAAGCTGACGATATTTGTATGACTATCCGGAATATTTCCAACCTTTACCTCAATTGTGTCAACACCCATTTGACCAGGCTTAGTGTCGAACTGAGGCGTCATGGGCTCGTTAGATTTCTCCTGACCCGGATGCTTGTCAAAAGTATCTAGATTTTGTTTGAAGTCGGGCGGAAGAGGGGATTGCTTTTCGTTGTTCTTCAATTCTGCTGGTTTGGTCACCCGACACAATGCTAGAGTATTGGGACTGTTGTACGATGACAACTGCCTCGTTCTATCGAGAACACCAAAATTACCATCGTACAATTCACCATCCTCATCAATGAGCTCCATTCTCCAGTTGTTGGGATTAATGAATTCCTTGTCCAAAGACTCCTTGTATTCACTCAAGTTCGATAATTGCAAAAGCACGTAGCCAATACAGTCATGAACTGGCGTTGTATTCCAGATTGCAACCTTCTGAAGCGTTGGTGTATCTTTTGGCGGCATAAAGAAGTCAATGAAAACTCTGTGTGCGTTAGGAACCGGAGCGTCTGATGCAACAAAACCATAGTAGTTCAAGGGGTTCACAAACGTCGATCTGAACTTTGACAGAATCATGCGGCTTAGGTTAGAAGGAGCCGGCTCCTGATTTCCAACTGCATAATAAATCTTTTCAAATTGAAGGGAGTCTGCTTGTTTCCGTACCCGCGGTTTCTCTCTTGACTCGTCGTCTAGACTAGACCTTTGCATTGAGGAGGTAAGGCTTGCGGAGGAATGCCCCTTCTTGATCTTTCTTTTCTGCTTTCGCAGGTTTTTGGCCTCCTGAAGCACATAACTTTCTGGAACCAGGTAATCGTACATCAAATCGGACCCAACGTCCAGAAGCGAATCTCCTTCAATATCAGTGAAGGCGGAATCTGTGGATGAGTTTGACCCGGGCAAATCGGAGCCACTTATACTAGTGACGTTCCCGCTTGGAAGGCCCAACATACTGTCCTGAATTGTGTTGGCCGTGCTTGGCTCAGTGAGTGCATGTCTCTCCAAAGAACTGCCGGAGTCTATGGTGAAACTACGCAAATCTGGTTCAGCTTCATGGAATCTGGATTCATGGTCGGTGTCGAGACTGCTCTTGTTCTCTTTGCTGGGTAACGAGTTTTCTGGTCCCGAGGATATGCTGCTCTTATCAGATTTCTGGAACAATTTCACCAACGGGTTCTTCTTCTTTCGCTTCTTTGGATCATCAGCCGAGGACATTTGTGGCAGTGGGAGGGTGACAGTAGGAGATTGTAGGGCCGAAACGCCTATAGTTTTGACTGACCCGTCGGAGGCTTCTTCGTCTCTTTGAGCTAGGGATTTGCGATGCTCTTTGCGGTTGATACCCGTAACAGAGCTGCGCTTTTTGGCATGTGTTTTTCGTTTGGAGTCGGTGGATGTAACGGGAGCGGTGGAAGCCTGGGACCGTAGATCGTAAGGAATGGGCGGTGATTCAGGCCGGAGGTTACTGAGGTAGTATTTGTTCAAATCGTCCTTATTGAGGCCAAATTGGAGCGGTTTTATGATTGTGGAGGCATCATTCAGGTCGGGATCCGCTGTAGCCACCGAGAATGCCCGGAGGTACGCCACAAGGTTAGACGCTTCTAGGGGAAAGGTCATTGCATTGGATGATGCTGGCGATCAACGTGATGTGAAATGCTGAGGTAGCTTTTTTGGATCTGCGTGTACCAAGAAATATGAATATATCAAATTGGTGGCAAGACGAGGTGTTTTGGGACGGTCGTGGTGAGTATTGTAGTAGTAGGTGATTGTTGATGTACTGTGAGAATGGCTGCGAAACAGGACGTGGATGGTGAGGTTGACGAGGAAGGAAGGTGGAATACTTACAGAGGCAAAGAGGACATGAAAAGAATGATTTAGTTACGAATGACTTTATTGAATACTGATGAAATTGGTGGATTGTGACGTTGGTAGAATTGTGTTTTTGGGGGTTCCGATATGGTAGACACTCGGTACCACGCAGTGATAAGAGGGCATTTAAGGCGATTGAAAGTGGAGCGTTACTTTTGCGTGGCTGATTTGCTTTCTGGTTTTTAAATTGATGAGAATCGGGTGTCTTTGAAACTTTGTGGAATACAGTGGCATTGACTAAGGTCTGGATATGGGTAGCCGAGTCATCCATGTGTAGAAACCACAAGTTGCCATTTCTACAGTATTTGAAAATCTCGTGCTTACTCCTTCTTTGTTTCTTCCGCTGGAGTTACCTATTTGGTAAGCCAAGCACATTGGTGAGGTTTGGCCGAGTAAACCATCCAGTTACGTCATAGCCTTCTATAACCAAGAAGGGTGGTGATCTTCACTGACCTTCACAATTTGTTTTCAGTTAGTGGATCACGTAATGATTCCAGAGTGTGGCTTTCAACTAAAACAACAGAAGGCGACCTACCTGGCATCGAAAGTATTGAACCTGACGTCATCGTCAGAGCACTCATTGAAAGTTCCTAATCTGACAATTGCATATCAATCCAGCTCAACACAGATTTCCACAAATTGACGATATATATGTAATGGCTGCAAAATCGGCTTGCTTAAATTCTTCACCTGGTGCCAACTCAATTCGGCAAACTAAGCCTCTACAACATCCTCACCACGATGTATCAAACAATCGGGCCTCATGCGAAAGATTTGTCTCACAATGGGCCGATAAGGGGCATTGATTGCGAACGAGGTCGGCTTGATCTGAGCTCGAATATGAAAAAACTTCCATTTTGATTTTCAATGGAACACAAGCTAAATGGAAGAATTGTCTCTGGGTACTTCTATATTTAAGCGTCAAGGCAACAGCACAACCGTAGTGGTCTTCAACGATCAGCAATTGACCTTCAAAATCCTTTGGGGAATTCAAAAACTGTCAAAACGAACATATTTCGCCCACCGCTACAACTCAAAACAAACTAAACCATATTCTTCAAACGCATCCCAAAAAAGCCTAATAGATGCTCCAATATGGCAACCTCTCTGCCTCCACATACAGCTACACAGTGCTATCGGCCTGCACATGGTACCGGCAATTACCCAATCAAGGACCCGTCGATTCATCCTTTTGCCAGCTGATTGCAATTTCAAAACCGTAGCAAGAACCTTCTCTTGAGTAGCACAAGCATAACTGTTTTCCGACAATTTTCCCGCCTCTTTGGCTGAACCTGGTGAATCCACCTCTGCCGCTTACCTGCACTCCCATACGTGTAATCGGCAGTGCTGCTACATGGCAACCATAACCAGACTCCATATTCTTCAGCTCTGGCCAGCACACAACGCCAGCCCATTACTGCTTTTTGGACCTTTCAACCCTAAGATAAAGTTAGATTCCATCACGTGCTCCATTTTTCCCGTACAGCGCCGAAAGCCCACCAAAAGTTCATCCTATGCTCCCTTGAGCACCACATTTCCAACACATGTCCAATAGATACACGCTGCATTTACAAAATACGGTGCTGGCAGCCGAGCCAGCCTCCGGAAGGTCTGGGACACAACTGCCGGATTTCGGTGACATATACACTTCATACGCTCAGCGTAGCAATCTCCAAGATGGTACGGCTACTACTCCACAGAATGGATCTCAAGACCTGTTGGACTCTAATCTGAACCAGGTGGGGGACAATTCGCCGCCAGTGAGGAAGAGCTCCCAGAGAATGAATCCTACAAGAGCCCAGGCGGTATTTCAAGCCATGAACGAACGTTCAGGAAACGCCCTGCCTCATACTCCCCAACGGAACGATTCACCGGGGCTGAGCGACTCTTTCGACTTCACCCAGCCTATTGGCCAGACAGGTCTTCATTCGTCGTCGTTGAACGTCTTGCTTGACACCCCATCCTCAGAAAGCCAGTACCGCCAATTGGTCCTGACTCCTCCAGTTATAGAGACAAATTACAGACACCACGGACGACACGTGGAGAGCCAGGAGAACTTGGACGAAGACACGAGCAATGTTGACGTGCTGTTGCGCAGCGAAAGCGTCGACAATTGGGCCGAAAAAGGAGGCGCAGAAAGAACAATCTCTTCCTCGTCCAGCGGATACGATTACAAAGTTATCCGTCGTACAGTCAAGGACTTTGAGTTTGGAAAAGACATTGGCGAAGGCTCTTACTCCACTGTTGTTTTGGCCACAGATAAGCTCACCTCCAAGAAATATGCTGTGAAAATACTAGACAAGCGTCACATCATCAAGGAAAAGAAGGTCAAGTATGTCAACATCGAAAAGCATGCTCTCAATCGTCTCTCTGGTTGTCCCGGTGTGATCTCGTTGTTCTTCACGTTTCAAGATAAGCATTCATTGTACTTTGTTCTCGATTTTGCAGCCAATGGAGAGCTTCTTGGTCTCATCAAGCAATATGGCACTCTCAATGAAGAATGTACCCGCTACTTCGGTGCCCAAATGCTTGACGCTATCAAATTCATGCACGACAACGGTGTCATTCACAGAGACATAAAGCCTGAAAATGTGCTTTTGGATGAAAATTATAGAATCCAAATAACAGACTTTGGCACAGCTAAGCTCCTTGAGCGCAAGAAAAATGGTGATACAGGAGAAGAGGAGGACTATCCGGTGGATGTACGAGCGAAATCGTTCGTGGGAACAGCAGAATATGTGTCTCCCGAGCTTCTTGAAAGCAAGTACTGCGGAAAACCCGGTGATATCTGGGCTCTCGGATGTATTTTGTACCAGCTCATTGCAGGCAAACCACCTTTCAAGGCTACGAACGAATATCTCACCTTTCAGAAGATTACGAAGTTGCAATATGCTTTCAGTGCGGGTTTCCCCTTGGTTCTCAGAGACTTGATCAAGCAGGTTCTTGTACTCCAGCCCTCGAGAAGAGCAACTATCAACCAAATTCAGAAACACCACTTCTTTCATGAAATTGACTTCGAGGACACAGATGCCATTTGGAACTCACCAGTGCCCGAGTTAGGTCCATACAAGATGACTGCCAAATCTATGATGAAGATGCCTCCTGCTCCGAAAGCAGCAGCGAAGAAGATTATTCGCAAGCCTGGAAAGAAGAAAGCTGTTTCACAGACAAACTCCCCACAACAACCCGAGAAACCTGGCCAGAAACGTGTCACCAGTGATGGGAATTCGAAGAATTACAGCGCTGCAAGTGTAGCAGCCTATGTCTTCCACAAGCAGGATGAAGATGAAGCTCCACAAAATAGGTCGAATCCCTCTGCAAGTGCAACAGCAAGGAAGCCATCGGCCCCAGAGTATATTCCAGGAACAAACATTTTGCGTCCGGTTATCAATTCACGGGCTAACTTTTCAAGGAGCAGCGTCAGTCAAAATTCAAGCTCTTTTAGTACTGCTAGCACGCCGACGGAAAGAAGAGATTCCAAACCAGCCGAGATTCCTCCAATTTCGAGTGTCGAGCTTGCTTGGAAGGACTACCTTACCGATCCAGATGAGAGAGTCTTACATGTTGGCCAGGCTATAGTGTGCAAACAGCCCACGGATTACTTTGATAAGAAGCATAAGGGGTTAATCCACAATGCGCCATTGAAATATGTGAGTCAACTACAAGCTGCTGCGAAGGTAGGAGGCAATGACTCGATGCTCACAAGAGTTGCTCAAGGTAACAAAGGCGGCTTGAGATCGGCACCAGATGCCGCAAACTATGTGGCTAACGAGAAGGATGCAATTGTTGACTTCAGTCCGGAGGAGGAGCCTGACCCCAAGATTACCAGCATCCCTGAGGACGAGGACCTGCCATCATCGCCCGTGGACGGAAAGGAGAAGGAGGATCACAGCAATGGATCAGGCAAGTCTGCTTCTAAGTTCGGTAAAAAGTTTTTGAAGAAGTTCTTGAATCATTCTGAAAAGAACGAGGATGGCAATTCAGACGCTGCTTCCACAAAATCCGGTGGCAGCGGTGGCAATGGAAGGAGCCGCAGTTCAAGCTTCTCGTTGGAGAGGGCTAGAAACTGTACTTTAGTAGCCACCACTCATGGCAGATTCTTGATCTTCATTAAAGAAGGTAACGCAGAGCCAAAGTTGATCAACGAGATATTCCTTAACTTCCCCTTCATTCAGATTAAGGAGGTCGTCACAAATCACACCGCAAAGTTCGGTAAGATCATTCCAGTGACAGGTATTTTTGCTGTACAGGCAATTGAGTCTACATTTGTTTTTGAAGTTGACAAGTATGAGGTTGATATCTGGACTGTGGCACTTGCCAGGTCCAAGCTCGGTCAGTTCGACAGAGAAAGAGAGAGAAATCGCTCTGCATCAACGGTTAGCCAATCGCCTAAACTCTTGGATGCTCCATCCATCAAATCGACCCCACCTGTGCCAAAAGAACAGAAAGTTGATCCAGCTCCCGCGCCTCCCTCGTCGGCTGCTCCCCCTGTGCCCCATCCAATCTCCACAAGAAAAGTCAGCAATGAGACGGGCCCGGAACTGCCCAAGTCACAGCAAAATCACAGCAAGGAACCAGGTCTGCCGAAGCAAACGCTTGATCCTAGAGGCCATCTGATGTTCAGAAGCAGAGCAAAGCAGTCAAAGAGCATGAAGAGGAAACCTCCACCACCTCTCCCAAAGGGCAACGTTGGCCACACAGGCTTAGCTAGGGATCCAGCGAGTCCTGACCACGATACACTTCACGCAGCACTTCTAGCAGTCAACAACAACCCGGTTGCGAAGCACGAAGAGCGTCGCTCTAGCTTCTCAAAAGCCAACCCCACTAGCCCCACGCAGAACATTACTTACAGGTACCAATCGCCTTCCAATGGGAAGGGCCGGATTACTGCAATGAACTCGAAGCTTCTTAACAGAACTCGAGACAAGCAGTAGTCATGTTACAATACAAAATCTCATCATGATGACGTAGCGGAGTCTCTATGTGCATAGAGCCTGATTAAGCTTTTTCGCAGCCATTTGTTGCATAACGAACAAGACCTTATCTCTGAGATCACCCATCAATTCTATTTATACATGAGATAGGGAAATGTGCTTTCGACTTTTAATTGATGTCTGTTCTTGAGGAATCAATATGTTCAAGATGTGAACAGCCACTAGATCAGCCATTATTGTAGATGCATAGGCAATTAGTGCTAGTACAGCTTCAATTCATAAAAGGCATCGTCTTCTGATTTGATTGATCACATTTGACCCTTCAAATACTTCAGTTTTATCATTGCACTCACTTTAAGTACATACCTGTAAGCTTCTTGCAGTTTGCCTATGCATCGATCTTCCAGCTTCATCAATCACAAAGGTGGTGCGATTAATTTAACTCAATAGTTAACCACTTTTCCTCTAAACACGCATATTCATGATAAACAAAGTTCCTTTCCATCCCCACATGACTTTCATTGACGGAATGCCATTTGTACCGAAATGTCCCGATGTCGTTGTGACAGTCACACCCTCTCACGTGACGGAAGAAGAGCCCTCGACCGACACTGCGACGTAGCCACCGCACACGTTAGGAAATGTCGCACACAAACAGAAGAGCTTGGGCCCGCGCCCTGCATACGAGACGACATCCTTCGCAGCGTCTACTCACAAAAAATTTTCTATTAGTGAAGAAAAAAGGATTTTGATATTTCACCTGTTCCACAACTCAAAAATGGCTAAGTTCATCAAGTCTGGTAAAGTTGGTATGTACAGCCGTTGAAGACCGATCAATTTGCTGAGATGCCTACCCTGGCCCTAATCCTTTGATATTTCATCCACTGATTCATGAAAATTTGATATTCCACCAACGTCCATCAATCTCCATCACCTCGACTGATGTAGCAAATCCAATGACTCCAGTGTGTCCATCCATCAAAAGTATCCATCGTCCGTTAAAATCCAGCTCCACTCTACAGAATACAACGAAATATGTCGACCCGTACCAAAGTGAAAAACTCCATCCAATCAGCAAATGCAAATATTCTCAACTCAATACTAACAAGCAGCTATTGTCACCCGTGGCCGTTTCGCTGGTAAGAAGGTTGTTGTCGTCAGACCCCACGATGACGGCACCAAGGCCCACTCTTTCCCACACGCCCTCGTTGTCGGTATCGAGAGAGGCCCACAGAGAATCACCAAGGCTCACGACGCCAAGAAGATTGCCCAGAGAACCAGAGTCAAGCCTTTCGTGAAGGTCATCAACTACAACCACTTGATGCCAACCAGATACTCGTTGGACGTTGAGTCTTTCAAGAACGCTGTTACCTCTGATGCATTGAACGAGCCATCTCAGAGAGAAGAGGCCAAGAAGGTTGTGAGAAAGGCTTTGGAGGAGAAGCACCAGGCCGGTAAGAACAAGTGGTTCTTCCAGAAGCTCAACTTCTAATTCTGTCACATAATGTAATAAACTCTGCAACGGTATTTGCAATTGTAGTGGATACGCTTTGAGAACAAGATGTGGTATACCCTTGTTATCTTTGTTCGAATGATAGTAGGATTCCATCATGGTTTGATTACATGCATCTGAAGCGGTACTTGAGTGATATCGCTAGTTGGATGCTTGATGTGAAACATAAAGACTCGGTTTACACTTGAAAGGTCACGAAGAAGTTACAGAAACATTTTGAAGTTCATTTGAAAGCTAAGTTTTGACTGGTGGTTCACTCGTGTGACTGTAGTTCGAGACCGATGACATGCAACCATGAAAGTTTCCAATGAAAACGAACGTTTTTGGGTACGTGCCGCTTCTGGATATTTAAGGGGACAAACTTGGAGAGGCGAATGCCCTTATTGAGCCTTTTGGCGATCTGGAAGGTGGACCATCTCAAGTGAAGAACTATGATGATGAAGCTGCAACACGTTCAGCCTATGATAGAGAAAACGAACTTCTAGAGCTATAAGTTTCAAGCGCATGTTAAATTGCTCTTTTTCCTTCTCTTCAACATTGATATGCTCTTGAAGAGCATGAGCTTCGTACAAGTACTATAGACCTTTTCGCAGCCATTCTGTGCTCTAATTGATGCACCACGCAAAACAGAACTCTGCTTTATAAACAACTCGATTTCAAAATATTCAAGTATTTTGGGATGAAAGTAAAATGTTCTGGTCCCTTGTTCATTGATGGGAACACAGGGACTAAAGTCACTTCTCCAAACTTATAACCACCAGCGCTGCACCCTTCAGCGATAATGCCAAAAAGAAATCACTCGATTCATTGAAAAACCTCTCTATTCCTCTTCAAATTATCACCATCGATTTTCTCCTCATCTTGGTATGTTTTCATGCCTTCGTCTTATCGTTCCAGACTTGAGTCACCTGTGATCCACGTGACGTGACCAATTACTTTTTCGTTCCAACTCCATCTTCAATCTTCACCATGGCTGAACAGATTGACATTGAAAAGCTCAAGCTTGAGGAGGAAAAGAAAACTCAGGAGCAGAAAATCACGCCTTGGGAGGTAGAGGGTGCTGTTGACGAGAATGGTCTTTCACAAGGTATCGACTACAACAAGCTCTCGGCTCAGTTTGGCACCAAAATCATCACTGAAGAGACCTTGCAAAAATTCACTGAAATCACGGGCCACGAGCCCCACCCGCTCTTGAAAAGAGGTGTTTTCTTTTCCGAGAGAGATTTGCACAAGATTTTGGACTTGTATGAACATGGAGAGCCATTCTTTCTTTATACTGGAAGAGGCCCATCGTCTGACTCAATGCATTTGGGCCACATGGTTCCATTCATTTTCACCAAGTGGTTGCAGGACGTGTTTGACGTGCCTCTTGTCATTGAGATGACAGATGACGAGAAGTTCTTGTTCAAGCAGAAGTTGACTATCGAAGACGTTAAAGGTTTTGCAAAGAAGAACTGTAAGGACATTATCGCCGTGGGTTTCAAGCCTGAGAACACCTTCATCTTTTCTGACTTGGAGTTCATGAACCCTGCCTTCTACGAGAATATTGTCAGAACCTCTAGACAAATCACCACTTCCACCGCTAAGGCCGTCTTTGGTTTCCAGGATTCCGACTGCATTGGTAAGCTCCACTTTGCATCTGTGCAGATTGCCACAGCATTTCCTTCGTCCTTCCCTTCGGTTTTGGACTTGCCTCCCAAGACTCCCTGCTTGATTCCATGTGCCATTGACCAAGACCCATACTTCAGAGTCTGCAGAGATGTTGCCGACAAGCTCAAATTCAGCAAGCCATCTTTGATCCATGCTAAATTCTTCCCAGCTTTGCAGGGTGCATCCACGAAGATGTCGGCCTCTGACAGTACCACATCTATCTTCATGGACGACACACCCAAGCAGATCCAGAAGAAGATCAACAAGTACGCATTCTCTGGTGGTAGAGCCACGTTGGAGGAGCACAAGGAGCTTGGTGGTAACGTTGACGTTGATGTTGCCTACCAGTACCTCTCGTTTTTCGAGCACGATGACGAGAAGTTGGCCAAGTTGGCTGACGGCTACAGAAAGGGTGAGATCATGTCATCTGAAATGAAGAAGGAGTGCATTGCCGTGGTTCAAGAGTACGTTGCCGCTTACCAGGAGAGAAGATCCAAGGTGGACCAGGACGTTGTAGACTCGTTCATGAAGCCCCACAAGCTTGTGTACGGTCAGGCTGAGAGAAAGGTCCCAGCTAAGGAGAGAGTGAAGAAGTCAAAGAAATAATCTACAGGATAATAGATATAGCATAATGATTATTTGTAGAGGGATCATCACCATCATCATCATCATCACCCCCACTACATCCATCTCAATCTAATATGCGTCGACTATAAACATGATACTACTTACAAGAATATTTACGCGGTTAGTGCTTCTTTTTGTTCTTCTTCAGTCCCTGGTTGCCCTCGATGAACTGCAAGATCTCATCCACAGACTTGGAAGCGATTGAAGGGTCAGATGCTGACGTCTGGTTCTTTTTACCCTTACCTTTACCCTGTGGAACCTTAGTCTTGACAGGCGCCTTCACTGGGGCTTTCTTGCCATTTTGCTGCTTTTTCTGTTCAGCAGCCTGGTGTTCATTGTAGGCAATGTAGGTTTTGATCTGTGTGACAAAGTTGGCACATTCCTTAGAAAGAGTGTCCTCGGGACCCACAAGCTTGCTGAACACTTCTCCAGCCTGGGTGAACTGCTCTTGAGCACCCTTGTAGTTGCCCAAATGCACCAAGGTAATGGCGTATCTGTGTCTAATGAGTGCTGTGATGTCGCAGAGGGAACCGTTCAATTTTTCAGAAACCTCGATGGCTCTGGCAAAAAGCTTGCTGGCCTCCTTCGAGAGCTTCATCTCCTGTAAAATGGCAGCAAAATTGGTCAAGGTGCTCACGGCGTTGGGGTGGTTGTTACCGTAGATTTGCTCCCACAATTGAAGAGCACGTCCGTTGAGCGCAAAAGCACTGGCGTGGTCCTTGTTCAAGCTGTCAAAGAACGAAGCCTTGATGTAGGCATTGATGGTTTCGTAGCTGTCGGTACCGTAGATTCTCTCGTTCAAGATAATGGCCTTACGTGCTGCAATAGAGGCCTCACCGGACATGCCTCTTTCAGTGTAGAACTGGGCCAAGGTGGAGTAGAGCGACGAGATCTCGCTGTTAACCGAGCCGTAGATTTGCTGGTAGAACGAGATCAATTCGGTCATGAGTGTGGTGCCGATTTCGGCGTCTCCCTTGTTGAGATGGCTCTTTGCTGTTTCGTAAATCTCGTCCACCATTGAGCAGCGGTAGCCAGCGTCCTTGATAATTGGGACAATGTCGATGATATCGTCAGCAACGAAAACAGTGTTGCGCTGAACAGCAGGCGTTGATGCCTTTTCCTGGGTCTTCTTGCCCTTGTTCTTTCTCTTCTTGGACTCAACAGGCTCCTTTGGTTCCACGGCAGCAGGAGCAGCTGGTTTGGCTTCAAAATCCTCCTGGGTGAAGAAATAAGGCTGAGCTTTCCACTGGATACCGACCTTGAGCGCAATGTCTCTCATCAAGCTCAAAGGCTTGACTGCCTCAGTCCAGTTGGAAGAAAGCGAGTGTCTGAAACGAGCATACACCTCCTTTTCAATGGCACTGATCACCTCGGCAGGCTTGATGGAAGTGAAAGAAGTTTCCTTTGTGGAGAACAAGGATTTGATGGAGCTGTCGATCTCAACCTCTGGGGTAGAGTTCACACCCTGGCCCAACAAACAGTTGTGGAAATGGGCAACCAAGTAAGGCTTCAAGAGGAATGGAACATCCTTACCCAACTTACGAAGAACATGTTTGGAGGCTCTGGCAATCATCTCCTGGACAGCAAGGCCGTGGAGTGCAGTCATGTTGGCTCTGACAGGAACCAACTTGGCAGCAGACTGCTTCTCTTCGTCTTTCTTGTCCTCCTCCTTCTTTTCGTCTTTTTCATCCTTCTTGTCCTTTTCCTCTTCGGCCTTCTTGGCGATTTCGACCTCGTTCTTTTTGATGGCCTCCTCATTCTCCTTCTCAAAATCGGCAACTCTCTTCAAGGCCTCCTCGGCAATGTAGCCCAAGTATCTCATGTTGATACCCACACGGTGCATGAAAGCGGTCAAATGAGCACCATCGAAAGGAACCAGGTTCTTGGTGATGTCGTCCAAAAACTCGGGAATCAACTGTTTCTTGATAAAAGCAGAAACCTCCCGGACGTCCTCCTGGTCGGCCTTCAGCTCGTCCACACCGGTGAAAACATCTGGGTTGAGCACAATCTGGTCCACTGGAATGGCAACTTGGGGTTTCTCATCGCCATCAAGCTTACCCTCCTTGTCCAATCTCTCGGTTTCCACCTTGAACAAAGCAGCGGCTTTTCTCTTGTACCATTCTTCCACAGCATCGTGTCTCAACGAAGCTTCCTTGTGGGGGTATGACGTCTCGGAACCATCAAAGTGGGCATCCAAAAACTCGATATCCAAAGGCGTGGTTCTGTACAAGTCGATAACGTACTTTCTGTGGTCAGTGCCGACGATACACTTGGCGTCCTTGGAAAGAGCAATCTCGCTTTCCGTCTCAGCGCCAGACTCCAACTTGACCTTGTGGGACTTCAAGTGGAAGGCCTCACCGATAGGCTTCAACACCTCGTTGAACTCCTCGGAGGTGTGAATCACATTGTTATCGTGGGAGTAGCCCTGGACAATTTTATCAACTGGTTCGCCGTTTTCGTCGGTTTGGTCAGCAAAAACACCAGGAACAGGAGCCTGGCACACCACTCTTTCTCCCAAGTAGTCCACAATACAAGTGAGCAAATTGCTGACGCCCTGGACATCAAGTCTGTTCATGAGCCTGACAGTAGCCAAGTCTTTGCCAAAACAGTAGCGGGCAGCCTCGTCTCCACCGGTGTTGTCGTGGGCACCAGTAGCATTGACACCGAAACTGTAGAAGATGTTGTTTCTCAAGAAAATGTGGTCCTCCTTGGCCTCGCTGGGGTTCAAGGGCGTGATGTTACCCCTCAAGATCTCTACCGCCGTGGATGCTGCTGCCAGGCTGAACTCCTGGATGTACTTGTTGATCAACTTGTCTCTGAGCAAGCGCTCGTTGAACAGCTCTTTGGAGAATTCCTTGATCCCCTGGAACTCCTCGTTCCAGTCCTTGACCAAATCGGCGCCATCGACACCGTTGGAAAGAAGAGGCACCTGGCTCCGGAATGCATCGGGCACAATGGCGTTTCTAACCTGGGTCTCAGTGACCAACCATGGAGAAGTCACGGCAGCCTGGGATGGAATCAAGTAGCTTTCGGCAAATTGCGATCCCTGGGAAATGGCCTGCTTGTTGCCCTCGACAGCCTCCAGAAAACGTGGCGACAAGGCACTCACCAAATTGTGGAAAAGGTACTCTTTAGCACCGGTCTTCATGGAAGGGTCAAAATTGGCGTTCGACAAGCGGTTCACAAAGAAACCCAGCACATGGCATGTCACGGAAAACGTCTCGCTCTCCAACGTCGTCAACGTGAGGTAAAGCAAGTCGCCTCTGGCTTTCTGGATCTGAGGAACACTCCATTGCGATAAGGTGAGCGATTTGATAGGGAGCTTCCACAATCCAAGCACAGAGTCTGCGGATGCAACCTCCACAATGTTGGTTTCCTGAGGCTCGATAAGTTTGCCGACGATAGCCTTGATCTGAGCTTTCTCCTCTTCAGAAACCTCCTCTGCAACACCCTTGGATTCCTCAGATTCCGTCTTCTCTGGCTTCTGTGTCTCCTTGACGCCGTCCAACTTCAAGCGGTTGAACTTGGTGCTTCCGGCAGCCACGCCCTGGGCACGGGCAGCGTGGTCGAAGAAGTTCATGCCGATACTCTCTCTGAAACGAAGAAGATGGTCGTACACATCCTTCAACGAGTAGGCTCTTTCGGCCAAACGAACGTCGTACTTGCCGGGCTGGCCGAAAACGTCCTGCAAAGGTGCAAAATCATCGAACTCCGTCACGTTGACGTCGCCGTAGAACAAACTGTAGTTGGTCAATTGGCTCAACATGGAGCTTGCAGCCAAGGCCTCCTTGATGTCGTTGATGGAGTCGGTCAAGGAATGGTGGGTTTCCACATATTCGATTTTCTGGCCCAAGAACAGCGGAAGGGCTATTTTCAACACCACCTCCTGGGGGTCCTGGGGGTCTTGGGGCTTTTCGGCCATTTCGTTGTGGAGTAGCTTTGGTGAGTGAAAAATTCCTCAGACTGCTGCAGGACGGTGGGGCTGCTTGTAGAAAGTGGGATAAATTTGGGTTTCTGAAAAATGGCTAGAGACCTTTTTTAGGTGGTTTTTGAAAGGCCAGGGTTATTGAGGAGTTTCAATATACCTTTTACGGTGTGATTCGTGGAAGTTGCTCTGGCCGACTGGCTGCGAATTTGACGTGAGCGGAATAGATGAAACATGCTAGATCCTTCGGTGTGATGGAATTGGTGGAATTCTTAGTTTTGTGGTTTTGTTTAATTTTGTTCATTTTGTTATTGTAAAGGGGAATTGCTCAAAAGGGCTTGTGCTTCGGTGACTTAGCTATGCTGAGGACGATGGAGTGGTTGATCATATACTCAGTGAACCACGATTACATGGTAATTTACTATAGTCGTGGAGCAGATGAAAGAGCCTAAATGGTAGAAGGTTCCATTTATATCGAGTTTCAAGATCTTGGGTTCAAGCCTCCTAGCAATTACAGTCGTTCTAGTGATTCTCTTAGTAGTCCAAGGCAGCCAGACCCACAAACTTTTTGGTGAATTGTTTCAAGATAATTCGGAATTGAACTATCAAAAAATTGACATCGTCATGCCCTCATCGTTCGTTATGTCACATCTATCCAGACCGATCACTCAACCCTTACCCCCATGCAATTGTCAACCTCCAGACGGCCAGACCAAAAAAGAAGTAGATAATTCAAAAATCGATAAATTCACAAAATCAAAAAACCAATCGATCCCCCTTAAAAAAACAACCCGACCCTTTTACCGCCTTATCTCGCTTCCTCACCTACACCTATTGTCTCACTTTTTCGCATCCATACATCGCCATCAACCACCACCTTTTCTAAAGGTACCACCATATCTTACCCCACCATGGACTCCTTGGGCAATACAGCACCGTCTTCTGATGAAGTACATCACCAGAACGTCCACATCAACGATCTCCCCGATGAGGTCCTTCTCAATGTCTTTGCCCACATGCAACCTGTGGAACTCAAAGACCTCCGCTTGGTGTGCTCCAAATGGAACCACGTGGTGCTGGACAAATCAGCTTGGATCAAGGCGTTCCATAACCGCTTTGGCACAGGTAACGTGTTTGCTTCGGTCACGGGGCTGACCATGTGGCTTACGGAGTATCTAGGCCGAGTCGCTGTGGCAAGGAAATGGGCCAAAGCTCGGGCATACTCCCACTCTTATGCGCTTGTCAACAACGAATTCGGCATGAGGGTTCCGCCTCGTGTGTTTGTGGATTTTGCCCACGACAGGATCTTGACGTTTGCCCGGTTTCTGGGTGCCATATCCATGTGTACGCTATCCACGGGGCGTAACCAGGTGTTTTTCCCCGAAAACAGCGTGTTATCTATGGGCATGGCTGTTGACAGCAATTGGTCCCACCTCTGCGTGGGCAAGCCCAACGGCGAGGTTCTCCTCAAAAACTTAATCACATCATCAGCCACAGGACTGGGGAAGCAGTCCGTTACCACGCTTCAGGGCCCCACGGACGATCCAATTGTGGCTCTTAAGCTCAATGAAACGTTTGAAAAGGTCAGGGAAAAAGTAGAGATTGTGGCAGGTACGAGAGGCGGGCTCTTGTTACTTTGGAGCGCTACTACGCTTCTACGGACAATTTTTGTGAGCCAAACTTGCGGCGTGCTCGAGGTGGAAAGTGATTTCACGAAATCTGTCGTTGTCGTCACGGAGGAAGAAATCATCGCCTACGAGTTATCTCTGGGTGAAGAAACCCATCGTGTGGCGCATGGAATCGCCTTGATGCCCCACGTCAACTTTCGCATTGATCTCGCAGACATGAACGTCGTGGCATACGACGAAACTACCGTCAAGGTGTTCCATCTCGCCGAGGAGGTTTTCGTCAGAGAAACAGAGGCTCCAGAAGAAGTAAGCATTATTGGAGGCAAGTTGCAGCAAAGCGACCGCAAAGTGAGAAACTCTGATGTTGCTGGAGGCGACGGTCGTCTTTTCGCTTTAATTTTTTCTGACGGCAGTGTCGGTACTTTCAACATTCGTGATACTAGCAGCGAAATCAAGCTTCTCACGAGGATCATGCCTCGCTACGACGCCCCCTTTGGCATCTTCGATTGGACCGCTGTGGCACTCAACAGTTCCACCATTGCCATTGGTCTTCTACCTAATTTTGTGCATTTTTACGACTCCCACCTGGGCGAGTATCTTCGAGAGGGTGTCAAGGTTCTGCGGAAGCTCTTTCGAGAAGGCGAGCCACCCATCAGGCATATGAGCTTCAGCTCAAACCAGGCTGCTGGTGTGGTTGTCAGCGGAAGTGTAGCTCAATATTTCCGTTTCGGCGACGCTCCGCTTTCATCAAAGCGGAAGCCTAATACACCTCAGGCTGCCGAGGGTTCTTCTCGACATGCTATGCATAGACACATCAAGGCTCAATTGGACGACTATGATACCCTTGAAGATTCTCGTCGCCGTGCAGAACTCATGGCTGATCGCTACAATGGTACAGAGCTCGAAAGCGAGGCTGAAGAGCTCCGAATGGCAATGGCGCTAAGTGCTAGTAGCGTCCCTGACACCAGCGAAGATGACGACTTGGAGAGGGCATTGGCGCTTTCTCGAGAGGAACTGGAAAGAGTCACTCCGCTTGAAGGAACCCTGCGATCTCATGAGCTTTTCAAGCAGCCTGCTACGGGACATCCAGGTGAGCCTATTGAGGAAAGTGACGACGACATTCTTCGCCAGGTGATAGAGATTTCGCTCACTGATATTTAATTTTAAGGAGCTGGGTCGCTGAACTACATCGTTGATACTGGTTGTTCGGGTGCACCAAGTTTTCCACTTCCACCTTAGCGAGATCTGACTCTCTTCAGGGATAATAATATAATCAAGGCATGACCCTTTAAGCCCTCAAGTCCCTTTACTGCATCATCTTTCGGAAGTTTTTACGACTCGCCAAGCGATGCGAAGCCTCCTCAACAATGGGATTCGGGAAAAGACCGGCGGGAATTATCGAGCTTTGCCGTTGACTAAGGTTTGCAGCCAAGGATCTGAGTCACGATTTTAGCGCACTAACGGTCTCCAAAGCACTTTCTCAAACCATCGTTCTTCGTTACAAAAAAATAAAAAGCTTTCATTAAAAGCATTTTCATTGGGCCGAAAAGATAACAAAATGAAGGTTCTGGCCTGATTTTGTGGGTACCACCATCCGTGGATGCACTACTCGGTGCCGGAATTTTACGGGATACAGCGGACGGCAGGTAGAAAAAAAATCCATTTGCCGTTATTTGCGAGATCGTTCCATACAATACGGACTCATTTTTTTGCCCTGCAAATTAAATATCGTTCTTTCAAAACAGCTACACTGATAGCAAATTCCCCACACAAAGGCATTAAAGCCCTGTCTTGTCATGTCATTCAAATTAAGGGAGCTGGGGAGAATCCAGTTCTTCCAGTCTTCCCTTCCCTACTTGAACAATAATGCTGTGACTAAATTTCAGCGAAACCATACTAGACGTTGGCGTTCCGAAGACCCCCATCCTTCGAACCACAAGTTCTTATCCATTTCAAATGGCCACTATGGCATCTACTTCACAATTTTTAATCATGAATTGAGACGAGAGGAGAAGAACGGCCTTCATGACAGTGGTTCCCATGTCTTAATGGTGTTCCCCTCGGGATCACTGCTGTCAATCTACATTCCATATTTCGTCATAAGTAAAGTCAAAGAAGAGGTTTACAGCCACATCGATCACCTTAAAACAGTATCGAAGGAATTCTTGTCATCTTGGGCATTGGTGAAACCCAAGCACTTGCTGCAGCAGCAGTATTTCATAAGGTCATTCACTACATCTGCCACTGAAAAAGAGCAAGAGCCACTCAAAATCACCCCTTTGTCACAACCTAAAATAGAGGAGGTTGTGGAAGAGTTCGGTGGCGAAGAAGTGCCATTCGCGGAGTCTTTCCGTAAGTCTCAGTGTGACGAAATCACGAAAGTATACAACACCCATGCATCTCCCGAGGACCTTGACATCATATATCCATTATACCAGGCACTCAAACGAAACGATATTCCCCTCCCCACCATCGAGCTTTACAACATTGTCCTTGAATCTATTTTGTCTCGAGCACTTGACAGCGACAAGTCCTCTCTCGCTTCCATCGAGTCAAAACTCACAAATCTTCTCACCGTTTATCAGGATGTTCTTCACCTTTGTTCGAGCACATCTTTGAGACCCGACAGTACCACTTACAATCTTGTCCTAAAAGGAATCTTTGAAGGTTGTGTCGAAACAGTCAGCGCCGGCCGCTCTCCTTCTGTGGCACATCACATATATCAAGAATTTGAGGCAAAGGCGAAAGAATTCGGCCAGGTAGGCACTGACCTTTTTCTTTCATTGAAGGACTGCCTGAATCTCGCACTTCCTTCCATACTTCCTCACATGGTCGCTGCTATTACCAGTTTTCCGGAGCTCTTGACAGTCGATCTCGTCGAAAAAATCTTGGAACATAGGACGACAGTGACTGGTGCAGGCTCATTCTATGTTGGTCTCATCGAGTTGTCCCAGCACTTCGCCTCCTTGGGTATGCCCAATCTGAGCCCACAAGACATTCACCACTACCTCATCTCTGTCTTTGAGGATTTCAAAACCAACGCTCAGTCCTCTCCGGAATTAATGAGTTGTGAGTACAATGTTTACTCGGCTCTTATACTGGCATTGATCGCCAACGGCAACTTGTCTTTGGCGACAAAGTTTTTAGATGACATATTGGTAGACTACAAGTCGTCCCTACAAGCATCTGATAAAAACATTGTTGTCGCTAAGCAAAAAGTTTCGGCTCTCATCTCCGTCTACCTCGAGGCTATCACATCGAGTGGCAAAGCAGGCGATTTGCACAAGGCTTACAATCTCATGAACAAGTTTAACGATGTTCCTTACCTTCCAGAGTTTTCCACTCAGCTTTACAATAAGCTTATTGCCCTTTTCATCAATGAGTATTCCATGCTTGAAATGCTGAGACGTGCCTCGAGTGACCAAACGATACTGAAACAACAAAAGGACGTCTACAGTATCATCTGGAATCTATACGAAAAGGTTGCGATCAGATCTGATTATCAAAATAACATGTATGACGCAACGATATATCCCAAGAAGTTTGCGAATTGCAGGGAGTATTTGTTGACGTTGAGCATTGATTTAGGTGATTATAGCAAAGCACACCGCTTGATGAAGGAGATTCTTGCGAAGGATCATTTGATAGGTGATTGGAACGTGTCGAAGAAATTGGTATTGTTTCTCATCAACACTGCGCAGGTTTCAGGAAATGGCGAGTACATTCATCTTTGTTGGACACTTTTGGAACAACAGGCAGCTCGTCATGTCCATGATTCAAGTATTTTGAATGCTTTCGTCAGTGAGCACTTGCCCTACTTGGTTAACATTGTTTCGGAATTCAACTTTGAGAGATTAATCAACTCGAAGATGGTGATTGATTCATTCGCCAAGTTTGATCTCTCTAAGGACAACATTTATGGCCTCATGACCATAATGACGTACCTTGTTAACATCGCAGGCTCGAGAGAAGTGTCATCTGAGGCAAAGCTGAGAATTTTGCAATACCAAGCGCACCTCTTGAAAGAATTTGAAGACACTGAGAACCACTACTTGCAGCTTTCGGAAGAGCTTCTTCAATTCAAACACAATTTGATAAACTCTTTCACTTACTTGATTGCGTCATCAACTACGTTAACCATCACCAACGAAATAACGGACGTCTGTGAGATACTCGGAATCGTTGCCCCCAGCAGTGGGCTGAGTAAAGCGGTGATCTCTATGGACTATTCACATATCCTCGCTATCAATTATCTTAAAGGTGTGGAGAATTTCGAAGGTGCTTTCAAGGCAGGTTTCAACTTCAATGCCCTCACTTGGAAACTCATCATCAACAGAAATTACGTGGTTGAATCGTTATGCAAGGAAAGGGTTATGAAGATTGAGGAGTTTGTCGCGAGACTTTTAGGTCTGTCTTTGGAGCTTTATGAAAAACATGCCTTGTTGTGCTCCCTTATTTCCTTAGGTCATGAGAAGGTGAATATCGAAGTTTTCAAAAGCTTACTTAAAGGAGATGAGAGTGGAGCGCTTGAGAACAGCCGTGTGTTGGATGCCCTTGCATCATTTTCTCAAGACACTAACAATTCATATTTCTTGAGCATTTTCGAAGGTGCATTTCAAAGGCTTCTTGAAGGCTGTGACAACAATGAATGGGCATCCAAGTTTATGTTCAAACTTTCAAGCATTGGCAAACTGAAGGAGGTTGTGAATGTTGTGTCGCAAGAACGTATCAAGAAGCTCAGTCTTACAACAGAGGGGGATATCAACTTTTTGGCCTCCCTTCTTACGTGCCACATTGCCTTGAACAATGACAACGAGGTGATGGCTATAATGAAAACTTTCTTTTCGGATAAAGAAGGAAACAAGCATTTGATGGAATCAAATGAATTATTGACGATTGTGGTCGACTTCTACATTTCTAGAGGTAACTACGCAATCGTCGTAGACCGTTTTGGCAAATTGGCGAAGCGGTCGGTGGCTTTAAACGAACGGGTGAAATTTGCCAGTTTCATGATGCAGATGACAGGAGAAACTCCCACTAAGCAGGACAGCACTGACCATGATGTGGCTACATTTGCGATCAGTCTTCTCTCTCAGCATGATGTGGGTAGTATGAACAAGCTTTTTGAGCTGAACTCAAAGTTTCTGCGCACCGCAGGTGCAATTTTCGAAAGCATGGTTGAGCACTTGACTGCTGCGTCGAGACTAACCACAGACTCGCGTGCAGTCCGAGCCAAGTTTGAAGCTGTTATCAGACTTTGCAAGACGATGCGCTTGAAGGAGTTGGCGGTGGATCACCTTGTTAATGTGATTCGTCTCCTCGGACTCATGGACGCTCGTGACTTGTTGAACGTTCTTGTCAATAAGTTCGTTAACCGAGGAGAGACAGCGTCGATTGTCAACCTCTACTTTTTGCAAATTAGGGTCACCTCAGCCCACGAAGCCAGCGTGCTCAAGAGAGAATTTGAGTCGGCTTTACAAAGGGTCGGTGACAAAATCAACCTAGCGAGGCTAGCACAAGCATAGAACAGCATAGAATGACGGAATGATATTTATTAATGCAACGAATCAACGATACTAATGCAAGGTGAAGTGAAGTAGGTTCTAGTCTAGTTTTTGGATAGAGTCCAAGCTATCCAGGGTGTATGGAGTGGCACCTTCGTAAGTTGGATAATCACTTAAAGGCGGCATGGTCACTTCCAAACTTTGGAAGTTTCGAATTCCCGTGATCCATACCTTTCCTAAAAAGTCGTAACGCTTTCGATCCTCGGCGCCAAAGGAAAACACGGATCCGGAATTGTCGATAGTTCCTGAGTTGTCGTAGTTCTCGATCGCACTATAAGCACAGTAGTAGTAGTCTGTGCAACAATGAGACTTGACCCAGCCCTTCTGGGGCTCATACTGGTCAATTTGCTCCACTTCGTCTATTTGGTCAACGTCCTTTTTGCGGTTTTTCAGCTCGAGTTTGTAATTCACTTCCACGGTGAGATCCACGGGGCTTCCTTGAGGCCGTAATGGCGGCATCCCTGGAGGCACGACAGCATCTCGAACCCGAAGAGGTGCTTGGTACAAATCTTTTAATGCTTCTTTATCCTGAAAAGTCGAAAACGGGAAGCGGCGCTCGTCTCTGCTGTATCCATTTTTCTTGCAAAACGAGAAACCCAGGTTAATCCACAAAATTCGTCCTGAAGACAGCATGTGGCCAGGATGGGTCAGACACACTTCCAGAGCCGCCAGGGCATTGTACAACTTCCGGAACAGATCCGTTGTAAGTTCACCCACACTAGCTGCGTCATATTTACTCCACAGATAGTGCTCATCACCAGCCATGGCCATGGCCAACCAGTACATTTCTTTATCGCCCCAAATGGACAGCTTGATGGGCTCACCCCAGAGTGCCAAGGGGAGCAAAATTAAATTAGCGGTGTAGTGTTTCTTGCGGTGGAAGAGAACAATTCCAGCTTCTTGCGTGTGTCTCCATCCTCTCATGTAAGGAATGTCCATGGTGTAGTCAGTCACAGGCTTGATACCAAGACCAAGGTCAAGCGTGCTGTGCTGGTGAGGCATGAGCTTGGAGAAGTAGTTTGTTTCAATCCAATCGTTGCTGTCTCGAAGCAGGCGGTCTCTGAAGAAGTAAGCACCAGTTTCCTGGAATTCAGGCGAAGCGAACAACGAAAGCGGTTCTTCCAAAGGCACGGCGTCGGCATCTACCAACATCACCTCCTCGAACGATGTAAACATCAACGCTAACAATTTGTTGTTGTAGCCCGAGAAAACGTGCTTTCCCTGGCCCTTCATGGGTCTTTCGATATTGACAAATGTAAGGTGCTGGATTGGATAGTCAGAGCCGAACTTTTCCGGGTCGGACAAGTCAATCTCAGGAATGACTTTATGGAGAAGCTTTTGGTCTGTAAAGCGGTCACTGAGAAAGTCCTCTTTAGGAGCCACGGCGGCTGCCGAAAGCGTTTTCTTTGATCGGTTCAGCAAGTCTCCGCGGTACACCACTTGGATTGGAAGCTTGTTGTTGAGCGCCCTAAGCACTCTGATCAAGCGGGTGATATCCTTAGTGTAGCGGGTTGCGGCTGAAATAACAATGCCTTTTCCTTTCATATTCTCGTGATAATACTGAATGAGGGTGTCGTCTGGTTTATAGCTGCGTGCTCCAGGGAAGTGATTTTCGAGGATTGCACCGTCGGGGGTCTCGAAAACCGGGAGCTGGTCGTGGAAAAACGGCGTCATTCGCCTGGCCCAATGGCCTTGAATGTCAGGATCTGGGTCTGACCCTTCGTTGCCAAAGTAACAATTACCGTAAAGCCTGACGACCGTCATGAGGTCAGCCATGCGAGTTTCAAGCTTGTGGGTCACGTTGGTTCTCTCGTTGAAATAGTCATTGATCTCCTCTTGCTCTTTATCGGTGATTGTCTCAAAATCAGGATTTCCAGCCTTCTTCTTCTCCTTCTGGACTGCTTCGTAAGCACGTTGGAAGAAGAGACCCTTCAGTACACAGCTTTTGTCGTATACCTCTTGGTATAACGTGGGTAGCTCCCAATCTGGCTGTTCCTTCTCTAGAAAGCGGAAGAACTGGCCACATTTTTCAGCTAGAGGTTTCTGGACAAAGGCGTCCCAATCACCGACGTGTTTTTGAAAATTTTCGGTCAAGGAGTACTTGTATTTTGGGTAGTGGAGTAGATCCCGAACGTAGTAGTCGTTGATTCCGAACCCAGTCTCGGAGTAGTCGATCTTGATATCCTGGGTCACCACGGAAAAGTCGACAAAGTGGTATGAGACCAAGGTCAATATGCAAAGCACGGTCACCAAACAAAGGCCTCGTTTGTGGAGCCGGCCTGAGAAGGCAAAGGGCGATTTCATCTGGATGCCTTGGAAAAACCGTCCGCCATTTGGATCAGGGGTTATATAGAAGAAGTTAATGTAGAATGGGCTGTGTAGCCGCCCCGACATGCGCGACATCTTGTGTCAAGGGTTGCAGCACCTGCATTGCTTGAGAGAGGTCTCAAGAAGCGACATTATTTGATGCCAAGGCGGGGGAGGGTCTTCCATACTTCTAGAATCTCAAACGGAATCATCAAATAGAGTTTTCGTCGCGTTATCAAGGTTTCTAAAAAAGATAAAAAGATAACCTTGTTCCAAGTCGAACCTCGCCGCAGTGGCGCCTAAATGGCTGCGACATTGGCAGAGTCCCGGCGCCCTTAGTATTGCTTAGCCATGGACGCTTAAACTTCTCGGCAATCAGCGGCTTTGCTCGCACAATAATGGCTACGCTAGGCAGCCTCGGCGCCTGGATTGTTGTGTTCCGTTCCTGGCCGGCTGCGCCATCTTTGTGCGTCAACGCCATTGAGGGTTATCATAGGGGTCCGTTTTTTCCGGATCACTGGGTTGTTTTGCAGAAATCACTCAGGCGCCCCTGATTGCCATTGTGCACAGAGTGCTTTGCAAGAAACTGTGTCGAGGACGGGCGAGTCTTGGTAGTTACCTAATCAGGCAATTATCAACACTTGCGGTGATTCTGGTGTGTTTCGAAGGGTCTATCTCTAGTGTCGTACGATGGTACTTTTTGTTGTTTTTCCAAAGAGCCGTATAGCGGAATTTGCTTTGGGGATGTAGCAAATGGTGCTCACATTGAGTCTTGCAAAGGACCTCTGGGTTAGCTTGACTCTCAGTTGATTCAATTAGTCTGTGTTGCATTTTCACTTAATCTCATTTGAAATGGACTTTTATGGAAGTCGAGTAGCGAGTCCATTGATGACAGAGATGCCCACTTTGAAGGCTCGTATTTCTTGATGTACTTTCAGTTCTGTCCATTTCACAGAGCGTAATTTGTCTTGATGCTTGACAAAGAACTACCTCAAGTCAGGTAAATCTTCGATCTTCGGAACTCTTTGGCCTCAATTCATGGACATGTCCTCGAGTAAACCTTTTCTTCAAGTGCAACCTTCCTCTAGTGTAACTTTTCCTCTAGTGCAGCCTTCCTCTAGTGCAATAGGGCAAATCGTGTGCCAATGTTGAGCCTGTCATCCCTCCTGATGCATTACTCAGGTAGATTCCATTCTGGGTCAATTTTCATCTTCTCAGAAGAAAACCAAACTCTTCAACTCTTGGTTTCGAATGCCTTTTCGAAGTCATTTTATGCTCTCGTCTTGTGCCCTCTGTGCATCTGCCACGACGATCTACCTCCAGTTTGCAGCCATATATCAATGGGCTCTCATTATCCGCCAACATATCCTTCGATGAGATTTAGGCTCCCTTATTCAAAACTGAGGAAAACGGGACACTTCTTGCCGAGAATGGGCCGTCTCTTTACCCCTTCAACCACATTAACGATACTTCCTCAGTATACGGCAAGTACCACGGGAGTAGCCTTTTCCATACAAGAAAACACCACTGAATAGCAGAAATCCACTCAAACACAATCGGATGGTCAAATTCCAAATTGCCACTTGTTCCCCGTTACAATGGTATTCTTGTCTCCAACTATACCCATAGGGCGACCTGCACATGCTTCACCACCTTGCCCACCATCACCAACACCACCACTGCCAGCATACCCAAAAGTACAGAAAAAAAGATCACAAATCTTTCATTTTTTCTTGCCCTCTCCCACTCAGCTCATCATAAGGCTACCACTTCCAATGGATGTTTTCCACCAACCACGGTCACGTGATCTGTGTGCCTCGCTCAATGCGTACACGTTTTACCAAAAAACAACCTCCTCCAACAACCTCTTCATGTCTGTCCTGTCTTACAAGGCCCAGGACCCGTACTCTCTGGCCGCCGTGCCAGATAAGATGGCGGTGTTTCAGGAGTGTTTGCAGCAGTTCAATGCCCTGCCTGTGGACGCCAAAAAATGCCGTCAGTTGTTGGCCAAGCTCTTGAGGTTGATCTACCAGGGAGAGCTGTTCCCACTGCAGGAGTCCACCACGTTGTTCTTCTCCATCTCCAAGTTGTTCCAGCACAAAAACCTGTCGTTGCGTCAATTGGTGTACTTGACCATCAAGGAGCTTTCCGCAACCTCGCAAGATATTTTGATGGTCACCTCCTCCATCATGAAAGACATCCAGCTGGGACTGTTGATTTACAAGCCCAACGCTATTAGAACGCTTTCCAAGGTGTTGGACCCTACCACCGTCTCCGCGTCTGAACGTTTGTTCCGCAATTGTTTGGTCGACAAGAACCCCATTGTTTCATCGGCCGCTTTGATCTCGTCCTACAACTTATTGCCAATTGCCAAGGATGTCGTCAAACGTTTCACCAACGAGACTTTGGAAACCGTGCAGTCGTACAAGCTGTTCCCCCCAGACCAGTTCCAGTTGCACGAGTACTATGGTGCTTCCACCACTAACTTGCCCTCCAACTCCTACATGTACCAGTACCATGCTTTGGGCTTGTTGTACCAATTGAGAAATCACGACAAGATGTCATTGATGAAGCTTATCACCAGCTTGGCTGAGGGCTCCGCTCTCAAGAACTCTTTGTCTATCATCCAGCTCATCCGCTACATCAACAAGGTC